TGTGAAATTATCCATCGGCTGGCCTATATTGTTCATTTGAGCGTCAAACTCTTGGCTACCAAATACGAAATACTAGAAAATACTAAAACTTATCTTGACTCGAAAAACTTATTTTCATTATGAAAAATCTATATAGACAGATGGAGTCTCCTCGAATACTACATTATGTAGTCAGCCTCCATTACTATCTATATCACCACTTGAATTAGATCAGCACCTTTTCATGTGAAAGAAAAATTCAAAGAAACAAATTCGTTTAAACTTTTTGTCGCCGCTGACTGTAGAGTTTTCATGTCGATGAGTTGATAGATTTCTCTTAATTCAATCACACTCACTAAAAATTATTAGTTGAAAGAATTGACCATCATGCTGGACTTTATAAATTCTACTTCGACATTGACTTGCTTTTTTTTCCAATGATAACTGATTTAATGATTAGAACAGATCTTTGACAATAATTATATCCTTTATATGTGAAAAGTATTTTCAAAAACTGAATCGAAATTTCTTGGGTAGTGTCCATCAATCGATGAGAGAACGCTGTTACACCATGGTGTTGCTGCAATATTGTCAATGACTTTTTTAAAAATTTCTTCGCGAACAAATAAAGTGTAGTTTGGTCTTCATATCTATTATAGTGATACTGCTTTTGAATATTGTGACTCTATTGTTCTCTGCAATAATTGAGTGATGCCAGTTTTGGCGGATATCTAAGAAGAAAATAGCGAACTCCATAATCTCAGAGAATTGTTTAAACTATTACAGAATTGTATGTTCGATCAAAATTAATTCGTTTTTTTTGCGACTGGAAATGCATTGATTTAGTTTGAACAGTTACATTTCATTATTATTGCGCTTTTTAACAGGTGAGCGATAATGAATTGCACTAAATGTTTTTGTTTTTCTTCGTTCATTTTCTGAACAGGAAATATATTCATTTTTATATTAAAAGATGGAGAATTACAAGCTCTACAAAACTATCAGCTTTGTTTTTCAAATAAGTTTTTCTTGTCGTTGACTGATTAAAAAGTTCCGCAACTATTAAATCATTCAACTACGATTTGCTATTTTCTGCTGACAATTATCGATTAATGCAAGCTTTTCCTCATCAAAGTCAATGCTAAAAATAAAGTATTTGACACCAATCGATAGAGAATGTTGTACTGTATCCGTCTAAGACCTTTTTAAGGTTCATGGTATTGTTGCTCAGGAGAAAAACTGACACCAGTCGTTATTTTAGAATACGCTTTAGAAAAACATGTTGTTAAAAGCCAGATTTTCTCTAAAAAAGATTTACTATTATATCATTGACTGTTAAATTGAACAGTGTAAAAACTTAGGTTGTTTCGAATTAAAACAAAAGAACTATGGTCTAGGTTTACCCAAAACGGGCTTGTTCGTTGTTTTCACATATTATCTTTCGAAACAATTTCTCGAAAATATTTCTTCTAAAATTATAAAAAATGCAATCAAAGTTGCAAAATTTTATGGAGAATTTTGTAACATAGGTTTTTTAACTGAACTGTTCTTTAAAAATTTCCGTTAGTTTTTTCGTTTTTTATTGTCGCAGTTGAATGTTTGAGTGAATGTGAATCTTTTTTAAATCAGGCGCCGAAAAATATATTTCCTGAACAGAAAATGAACAATAAAAAGCTAAGACATTTAGTGAAACTCATTATGACTCACTCATTACTTTTTAAAAATTACTTTCTCATTATTTTCTTAGCCTTCTAATCATTTGTCTCCCGATTTTACTTATAATTACAAAGTTATTAGCAATAGTACAAGTATCTTTTTTTGAATAGCAATACAGTCAGTAACGTAAAATAATTTTCATCAGTTATTGTTGAATAAAGTAATAAAAAGTTAAAGGAATGTGGTAACTGTATGAAAGAGCAACGTTTAGAATATCCCTGGACACTCGATAGAAGTTTGCAAAATCGTGATTAGGCAAATCAGCTGTACTGATCCAAACTATACTGAATCAGTTCGAAAACTGAAATGGAAAACACAAAGGCTCTCAATATTTCGAGAAATGTGCCCGAAAGTCTTGTTCAATCAACTGTCGAACTTTCAGATCATGTATTCTTTATCTAAAACTGAAATACTCTTAATGAATAATGAATTTTAGAAGGTGCAAACAGCAATTTTTTGTTAGGTATATAAAGATAACTCTAACGAGGAAACCTCCCAAAGTTTCCGATGATTTTTAAGCTCATTCTTGGAGAATTGCTGGAAAGCCATAAGATTAGAATAGTCCTATGTCAGTTCGGTTGTCTGAACCTTTAAAGCTGAGTTATGATCGTTTTACTCGATATGAAATTTGGCTCGTAAATAGATTTATTAACGATGACAATATCCTGAAAGTTGCGGGTCAAACTAATGTGTCTTTTTTGAGATATGGAATTTTTAAAGAAATCGTTGTTTTTTAATTTTTCGAAAATTCAATATTTCGAAAAGGAAACACTCGTTTTATCTGAAACTTTCAGGATATTCTCATCACCACCAAATCTTTTTACAAGCTAAACCAACTCATTAAATTTTGTCGAAATACCCGTTTCCTAGGTTGAAAATCCAGTAAAACGGTCATAACTCAGTTCCAAGGGCTTATTCTAGTTCCATGGTTTTCTACTTATACTTCAAGGATGAGCTGGAGGTTGATTGCATACTTCGAGAGATTTCCTCGTAAGTAGAATCATTTGAATCATATCTACGTATATTGTTTTCACCATTTTTGTCGACTTCAAAATTGATTTCTGACACATTCTCTAGTTGTTGTTTCTATTATTGACAAATGTGTTAATGCTAGAACAGCACTATTGAAAATCCATAAATGTAGAGAAACAAACAAATAAATTGTCTACACTTGAAACTTCTTATATTCAACGTTTAGTTTAATCACTTTTGGTTCTTGTATAGAATTCTCAGCAATCAACTGGAAATAAAACAGCGACAAGGGTCCAACAACTTCACGCGAATCTAAAAGAAATATACAACACTTCCTGCAAATATCATACATGTCAAGGAATTCACAAGAATATATTGCTAATCGGTCGTACACGTAGCGGCAAATCCACTCTTCAAAAGATACTAGTCGATCCTACCGAGGTACCAGAAGAAATGACACTGTTGTCAGAAACAAGAGACCCACAATTCGAAACGTTCTTTATTGCTGACAAGCAAATGGTACTTAACATTATTGATAGTCCAGGCTTTTTTGAACGAAGTTCGGAAGAAAAACATATTCGTGACAACACGGCTATTATGCGTACCATCGAAGATTGTATCAATCGTGAAATTACCAAATTGCACATTATCTGCTTCTGTATGTCGGTCCACAGTGGTATTAACCAGGAAGATGTCGAATCTGTGAAACTTCTGGTCGAATATCTCGGCGAAAGGATTACGGAAAATGCATGCCTGATTATAACACGAAGTGAGTCGATCGACGAAAAGCAACAAAAAAGATTACGAGACGACTTGTATAAAGACGTTCAGTTCAAGGATATTGCAACAAATTACTTCAAGAAAGGTATCTTCTTTTCGGGTGCGATCAATCCTGACAACTTCAAAAAGGGTCATGACATCGTAGAAGAGCAATTTCGCACGGTCATCGAATATCGCAACAAACTCATCGATTTGTTTGTAGAGGAAAGTAATCCGCTTCCTATCAAAGAAACGTTGATCGACAATATCCGAAAAAAACGACATGATGAGAACGAAAATAAATTACTTCTTACTACACAGAAGTTAACCAACACAATTCCACAACAACTAAATAATAAGTATGTATCTTAATTTCCACCTGAACATGTTCTTAGTTCCATTTTCGAGAAAGTTATCTTACGATGCTTGAAACTAGTTTAAGAAAAATGTTGCTTTTTTAAATGGATCATATTGAAATTTTAACAATTGTTGTTTGAAAAATGATTCGTTTAAATATAAAAGCAAAGAAGTTCAAAACAGTTATGAAAGAAAGCTAATATATTTTTTCGAAAATATCGCTATATGCAACTCAGTCTTATCAAGAAACATAACATATTAGAATTTGAACTTAGACCAGTCAATTGGCTCGTCGATTGTTCTAGTTTTGTTGAACTTTTCAATCCATCGATGACAATTTGTTAGTTTTAGACTGATTTATTTCCAAATTAAAAAAAAAAAACAGTTATCAAGCTACTTCTTGATAGTCACAATTTGTTTGAACTATGTAAATATCACTTTTGTTTTTCTTCAATTTATTCTATCTTGCAAAACCTTCATATTGCGTGAAGCTTACCTGAAGATTAGACACAAAAAGTCATTTTGTCGAACGGTGCAAACAAGAAATATTTCTGACAACAATCATTAATATGATAAGTTGGACGAATGATAGACAATATTCTATACTTAATGTGCATTTGAGACATATCCAGACTGGCCCTACTCATGTTCTTCAGCTTCTTGGTTGATTCTATTGTTGTACTGATATAATCGCTTGTCATCATTCAATACAATTAGTTATTTACAATAGAGACTTGTCTATAAAATAATCTACTAAATCGTTTTCATTTCGAAGGAAAGGAAATACTTAGCAATATATATCATGAACCACACAATTTTGCTTTTTTTGTTAAAAATCTTTATCTATTAGAATTTATTTGAATAAGATTAAGAAATTTTGCAAAAATTCTTATTTTGTTCTAATTTAGGAGAAATACGTGGTCAATTATTTCGCCATATGTTCCTCATATCATTACACTGATATTCGTGATTATTGTAATCATAATGGGCGCTTCCAACAATAATGTTAGAAAATAAAGAAGTACTAATTATTAAGATCAATGAAAAATGCTAACTTGGATATGTACGTAAGTGTGCACTTTAAAAATAACTTGTTTCAACGGTTTATAATCTTGTAACTTGTATTTTTTTTTGTATACTCAATGAACAATCTAAATAAAATAGTGTACTTATAATGATGTGTGATTGATTGATTTCCTCGTAGATTTTCATTTCAGATGTCGAATCGATCAATATCATCATATAATATCCAATCGGAACGAGGAAATATTGAAGATAAAGTCGACGATGAGTATGACAAGTTAGAACAAAACTATAGACAGTTGACACCTACAAATCAGCATATTAAACGAAACATTATTTTGCTTGGTTCTACAAAAAGTGGTAAAACGACACTGGTCGAAGTACTTGCAGATCCACGTTATAGACCACCATATCAGAGACTAGGTTTATCACAAAACCAACTTGCAACTAAGAAAAAAATTAAATGCTCTACATCTACACATTTTACACTAACCATTGTTGAGATACCTGGTAACATGCTCGATAAAGAACAAGATTTGGCCAAGATCAATGAGACATGTATTGAATTGGGTGTTACTCAATTTCATTATATTTGTGTCTGTACTTCGTTTGAAAATGGTATTTCTGACAAAGATATCAAATTGTTCGAACGACTTATTAAACATTTTGGTGAAGCAAGCATCAAGCCTTATTTAAGTTTAATTGTAACTCGATGTGAATCGAAGGACGAGGAGTCACGAGCTAACATGAAAAAGGAGCTTAATCGTGATTTTCACTTTTCTCGACTAATGCAATGGTTCAATCGACGGGTTCACTTCATAGGAGCTCTAGATCCAATTGATTGGGATCAAGGATATGAAGAAGTTATTCTTGATCAATTTCAAACAATCTACAATGATCGACAACATTTTTTACAATTTATTGAACATGATTGTAATATTGAACCATTTACTATTGAATCACAAATGAAGAATTCATCTGTTATCTCAAGTTCTGAAAATACTTTCAGGTAATTATTTCAAATGTCTCAACACTTTTCTTATAGATATTACAGTTTCTAATGCAAAACTAACTGTGAGTATCACATGTTTGTTTTTTCTTGATTTGCATGATATTCTTTATGTGGTAAATACAAGATTGTCAAGTCTAGAAGTTATAAATCGGAGTTTCAGCAAGAAAAATTGGAAACTTTCGGAAATTATTTATTTGACGTTTAAATATATATATATATATATAGTCGGTGACAAAAATTTAAGCGAATTCGTTTCTTTCAATTGTTTTTACATATTTGTTTTTCCAATTGTTTCTCTCACATGAAGAATTACTCATCTAATTCAAGTGGTGATATAAATAGTAAGAAAGGTCGACTATATTATATAGTATTGCTGGAGACTCCATCTGTCTTTTCCGAGCGAAAATAAGTTTTAATACCTTACAATATTTCACATTTTCTAACCAAGAAATTTGCACTAGAATGAAAAAAATAGACCATTCGATGGGAGAATCTTATGTTCTATCTGTGTTCTTTTAAAGTTTCGTTCCCAGAATAGATCTTCACCTCCAAAATCTGATTTTAACCAGAATAGCTGGAAAAAGTGAAATTAGCTTCTACATATTCTCTCTTATCGCAATATATTATGTTTTTTTTTTAAACAGAGACAGTGTGAAATTTTTTGTCGACTGATCTATTTCTTTTTCATTTTAGCACAAATCTCTTGGTTAAGAAATGCAAAATACTGTTAAAGTACTAAAATTTATTTTCGCTGCTAAAAAAATATTTCAATTATGAAAAATTTATGTATATCAATGAAATCCGCATCCATACTACATAATGCAGTCGACCTCTCTTATTATCTATATCATCACTTAAATCGGATCAGTGCCTCTTCATGTGAGAGAAGATTGAAAGAAGCAAATTTGCTTAAATTTTTATCGTCCACCGTATATTGTTTCTTTTTATTGAAATATTTTTTGCTCTATTAGCATTTTATGTAAAAATTGTTAGTAGAATAATTGTATTTCTTCTTCAATCATACTTATACTCGTACTGAAATCCTCAAACTCATCAGCTACAGCTGAATCGTATTCAGTGTAACACGTTAGAATTATCATCTAAAACAGTTCCTTCTTAAACTTAACATTTAGTTTATAATGGCGAAATTATTTATTGAAACTGGCTTCGTTTAATAGTACAATCTGTTAAATTTAGTTCGAAAAGATTCGAAATTCAATAGAACATGTACGGCTAGTAGTCTCAAAGCTTTCTACTACACAATAATTACAGTAGGATGACGAGAAGATAGATTAATTACTGATGAAAGTCTTGTACAATTAAAAGGGCACTGAGTACTTCTTCTGTAATCTTCTAATTTAGGAATTCGCACGTATTACCAACAAATGATTCAAAAACCAATGCAAGAAATTGGATCACTTCAGTCACGATTCTCATACTACTTATTACATGCATCGCAGCTGTGGCCAAAAGGCATCCTAATATACTTTCCAACATATTCTCATCCAATTGGTTTACAGGCGAAAGCATCGACAGTGCGAATCCTGAAAACTTGCCAATATATGAGGTAAGAGGATAGGAGTAGATTGTTTATAAATCAGTTCTAAATGAAAATCACTTGTAAAATAACTTTTTTCATAGAATTTCTAATTCTCTTCTCAATGGAATACTACTCCTCATACTAACAGAAAAACTTTTTCAACATTTGAAAGTATAACTGAACACTCTTCCATCATTGAACTTTTCCTAGTAATATTATCACGGGGTCTATGCGATTATAAGTCAACTACATTCGGAAAGAGCAATTTGTTTTTCACAATAAATACAACGCTTCGAGAGCCCTAAAATGGTTAAAGAACATGCGGGAAAATGCGTTGTATTCAGGCTACTGAAAAAACTGTGAGGGGAGCATATTTTTCACATATTGTTTATGATTTTGTAACTCTCAACGATCTCTATCTACCCTGAAAAAAAATCATTCTTCCAGAATAACGTCGACTCGTAATCATGTAGGCTATGAGATGTTGTTCTTAGGAGGAATTCAGTGATGAAATATTAGTTAATTACACTTTTAACTGTCCAAGAACAATGCCCTGCAAGTGCAAAGTAGTTGAGGATAACAATATTCTAACTAAACAAAATTTTTAATATAGAAGAAAACATGTAAGATGAATATTATTTTCAAGAGATACTCTTATTGAAAATGTGTTAACATATTCGATGCATACTCTTAGCATCGCTTCTCATCTTCTTTGCAATAAACTTTAGGACGAACTACCAGCACTAAATAGTGTGTGGCCACAACCTCGATATCTTAATGTTAGTATGGATCTTGTTTATATCGATCCAGATAAATTTGTTATCGATTCGAATCTGAAACGATGTGATGTTATTGATAACGCCATTAAAAATTACAGAAATATATTCCATCCGTCGAAATTAAACATTCATTCGCTGCCGGAAAACATTGATGAAAAAAAAATTTTTAGTGTGCTCAGTATTGAAATTAAGTCGGAAAAATGTGAAAGATATCCAACATTTCATGTCGATGAATCGTGTATGTGCTTGTTATTTACATGTATATGTCTATCAATCTATTCTATGCGGATTTTTATAGATAACATAACAATTGAAGAAGCCTATGGAAAAATTCAAGCAAATACCATTTGGGGTGCACTTCATGGTCTGACAACATTTTCTCAATTACACTTTGTTACAGATGGTAATCAGGTAGAACTCTATTAAAGTAAAACAATCATGAATTTCTATTGTTGAAAACTAGTTGGTTATCAATGCACCAATTACAATTGAAGATGAACCTCGCTTTCCGTATCGTGGTATTCTTCTGGATACTAGTCGTAATTTTCTACGAACTTCAGTAATAAAAAAACATTTGGTATGTATTGTAGTAGTTTAAAGTGTATCAATTTCGATTCTAACATAGAAACGAAGAATTTGTTAAGAGTAGATCTAATATAATCTTCATCTTTGGGAATAAAAACATATCAAGACTTTTGTAAACTATAGTTTGAATTGTGTGAATCATGATTTTAGAAGCTAATGGATAAAAGAAGTTCGATTAAAAGTGTGTGAAACTAATTAGCTTCGATCACGCGAGGTCAACATTTTCTTTTGAATATCGTTGAGTGATTAGAAAAGTGTTCCAAAGAAGGACTTCATGACTTGCCATATTTCTAAAATTCTTTTATTGTTAGGATATGATGGCTTACAATAAATTTAATGTACTTCATTGGCGCATTGTTGGCGATCAATCTTGGCCATTCATTTCTAAACAATATCCAACATTGACAGAAAAAGTTCAATTTATTATTTTTTTTCTCGACATTTATTTTTATTATTTATGTAATATTTAGGGCGCTTTTTCATTGGATCATGTTTACACGCCTGGAGATGTTCAGGATATCATCGAATATGCTCGTCTTCGTGGTATTCGTATCATTCCTGAACTTAACGCTCCCGGTCATATTGGTGCTCTTGGTCGAGCATTTCCAGGTTGGTACTGATTTTTTTCTTTATGTATTTCGAATTTTGTTTTCTTTCTTATAGATTTTCTAATCAATTGTTATAATGAATCGACACGTCAAATAATTGATCCAACAAAGACAGAAATCTATTCATTTATTGAAATAATTCTCAAAGAAATCAAGCAAACATTTGAAAATGAATTCTATATTCATCTCGGCATGGATGAAGTCTATTCAGCATGTTGGTAAGAACTATGATCTCATAATTTTTTTTGTTCTTGATTTCTATCATCCTCTTTGTATAGCACATCAAATCTCAATCTTGAAAAATTTATGAATAAGAACAAAATGAGCAAGTATACCGATCTAATGAGATATTATACAAGTAAAATTCTTGACATTGCCCAAAATATTGGCGCTAAATCAATGGTCTGGCAAGATGTCTGGAATGATGATGTCAAATTACCATTGGAAGTAGTCATTGAAATTTGGAAAGATGATTCATGGTCCACTTATTTATCAAAAGCAATTAATGAAGGATACAATGTTGTTCTTGCTGCTCCATTCAATCTTAGCATGTTTGAAAAATTCGATCTATTTTCTATTGAATTATTTATTTAGCAAATTATTCTATTCAGGATGTCCTATAGAAAATATGACAAATCAGACTCAGTCATGAATGCTGAATTTTCTAAGTGGTACAATATTGATTTATTTGCCAATTTTATCGGTACATTCTGTTTTACTTGTTTCATAGAAATAACATTCTGATTTTGTTTGTAGGTGATGAGACTGCTCGAAAACGATTAATCGGTGGTGAAGCAACACTTTGTGGAGAATTCGTCGATGATTTTAATAGTTTGTCACGCTTTTGGCCACGAGCATTAGTTGTAGCCGAAAAATTGTGGAGTTTACCAGATGTGAACAATATGTATGATGTTACAGGTCGATTTCATATTCAACGATCTCGACTGCACAACTTATCCATGTACTAAATCAATCGCTCGTCTTTTCGTAGACAATAAATATCGATTGCACTGAATAGCAATGATTATTATGATTTATAAGAAACCATGAAACAATTGATAATCGAATGCTTAGTTATTATTTTGTTTTGTTTGTATTCATTTTTACGATAGAAAAATAAGTTACCTTCGTAAAGAACAATTGAGTTCATGTAAATGAGCTTTTCTATGTATGTCATTCATTGATGTGTAAGTAGTTTGAATACAGAAATATAATTATTTGTCTTTTGCTGAATATTATCAACAAGCATTTGTCATCATTGGCAATCGTTCATCAAATGATCAATTCATTCGGTTTTATTGTATGTATGATGAATAGAACATATTTTCGATGAAAATCGCAATAAAAAAAAGAGTGTGGATGTGGTTGTGGCCGTAGGTCTAACTCATCTCTTCAATCACACTCACATTCACACCCACTACCACACACCCTAATTGATCAAAAAAATGACGGAATGTTTTGTGTGTAAACTTTCAATGTATTCCCTTGTATCATTTATTGATGAACAAACAACTTATTATTGATATTTGATGTAAAGAGATCGAATGAAACGTTAACTTTTAATGGTAAATACTAATAAAGATAAATCAAGACTGTATTCTAAACGAGATTAAAATATTTCATTCAAAAAACTTTGTTAACAGATATTGTTCATGTGGATTTTTTCGATATAATTAGAATAGTTGGATTAGATTTTTAATATGTTCTATGAAACCAAGCTGTAGGTATATTAAGAAAATTACAGAGTTGAACTTACTGTAATTATTTACTAATCAAATCTTTATTAGTTTATTTTCATGTGAGGAAAAAAATTGATGTAAATATAAGTAAACTTATTCTTTTCTTTATCATACATTAACAGCATTGCGAAAATCATCTTAACTCACCAACATTTTTCATAATGATATGAAAAAAATTTTGATTAAAACGTCCATAATTGTTCTCGTATTTCTCTATAGTATATAGCTTAAAGGTAATGTTCGTTCGTATGTCTCGCCTGTATTTTTTACTACGTTATTTCGATTGTTATGATAACATTCTAGTATATATAGTAAGTAACACAAACAAATTTTCTTATCTATGCATTTAAAAAAAAACATGTATCATTAATGTAACATTAAACATTTTTGAATAACACAAATATCGTTGTGTATGCACGACTGAGTATACGATTTTATTTTGCGTATAACACCGACTATCAATTATGAGACTCGTATATTGAGAAAAATGCAAAATGTAAGTGACTTAGCTAAATGTCTATCAGCGACCTGTGAAGGCATAGGAAAAGGTCTTTTTCTAATGACTAAACATTGATCATACTTGCTTATATTCTTTTGTTTATGTTTCTATTCAAATCGTCTATACAGTAAAATCCCCAATATGTAAACACTCCAGATTTTAGAACACTCTCTGCATCTTTTCCCAGCTGTTTTTTCTGAAAATGAATCTCTTGAATGTGGACACCTTCCTCTTCTAGAGTGTGAACACTTTTTGTCAGTCGCTAGTATAGTCAACAACCTTTCGATAGAGGACACTTGCTTGAGTTCATCATAATTTTTTCATTCTGTCAAATGTGTACATGTAAATAAGGACTAATCTGATTACCATAATGAGTAAAAGAATCGATAGTGAAAAGAACTGAAAGAAATTTTTAAAAAATCAGAGAAAAATAGAATAGAATCGAAAGAGAACTGAATAAGACAGATATAAAAGATAGTGAAATAGAAAGAATTAACGATTCGTTCATTTATCTACTTATGAAACGATGTACATCGACACTCGAACAGAAGAATGTAGGCGCGAGGTGAGAGTCTGTGAATATTACTGTAAGTTTTAACTTCACTCACACATCCAACTCCACTTACTCAACATCGAAAAGTGTTTAGACAGAATTGTGCAACTGACTTTCCAAAATGATATTGATGAAAATCAACAGTTTTTCATTAAGTTATGTTAGAAAAGTAGTTTTCAACAAAGAATAAGACAAAATATTCGCAACATAGCATTTTTTGAAATATAATATTTGGAAATAGAGTTTGATTTGTTTCAATAACTATAGACAGGACTATAAGTAAAAAAATTGAAGAGTTGACGATCTGTTCGGAAAGTTTTGAAAAAATTATTGAAATTTTCTAAAAATTTTCAAATATATTTTTCTAAACTTTTTAGAAAAAAAGTTGAAAATCGTCGAGCAAAGACAACGAAATTTTCGAAGATTGAGATGATCGCGAAATTATACTGTAGTCATCATTTTTCTTCATCTGAGTTCGCTCGAATATTCTACGTTCAGCATTAGGGCACTGAAGTTCTCTTCATCAACTTTTACATAGAAAATATAGGTTCAAACGAAATTGTATGTGGAGTATCATCATAATTTCCATTGATTTTCTTTGATGGTCTATGATTCATTTGTGTTTGAATATCAATCGAAAAAGTAAATAAACATTAAATTTAAAATGATGTATGTGTAATCCATCTACTAATGATAAACATTTGAATCGTTTAGAAAGTGCTATTATGTATATATGAAGATAATTAAATTTTTTACATTTCGATTGGTTTAAGATAATATTAACAAGACAATATTCAGATTATGGTTAAGGTTATAGGTGTATAGAAACTGAGAGTTAAAACAAAGCGTATATCCATACCAACAAACACAAGAATAATTCACACCGATACATTCTTCTTTCACAGGTGATCCTGGTTACCTGGGTATCAAACACAAGTATATGTTTTCTTAGGTAGCAATGAGAAGTCAATCTCATTGCTATGCTCTTTTTAGATTTATGTCACAACGTGGATCACTTTTTGATAGTAATTCGCATATACTACAACGCGCTACGACGAAACTTAGTGATGAAGGGTGTGGGTGGGTGTGTGGGTGTGGGTGTGAGGTGTGGGTGTGTGGGTGTGGGTGTGAATCTTCTTTTCACCCGCACCCATCCACAGCCGCACTACCACCCATACCAACGCTCACACCCACACCCTTTATGTAGAAAACTTGTCACATATGCTAGAGGTCTAGTTCAAAGACATCCGAGTTTTTCTCTAGGAAAAATTCAACACTATCTACAGTGCATGTCAAAAGTCTTGCCCCACTTTTTTGTTTTGAGTCGTCTATGAAAACTACTCAATATAATTAAATTTTTTTTTATTCCTAGATAGTAAAGGTCGAGTACTATCTATACACATCTGTTTAATACGAAAAACCGTTGAATATAAAATACAATAAAAACAAACTTCAATGCTAAGAAAAAAAATGATATAAAAAACTACAAAATGATATTGTTGTTTTAAATT